CTGAACTATATCGAACCATAGTCTTGTTTAGTTTGTGAGGGTTAAGACTTCTCTAGAGTTAAGACTCCCATACTTAGCGTTTAGTTCTTTTTAATTTGCATAAAAAATGATCCGTTGATATATTTTTGAGTATAGTTTTAATTTTTTAGTCTTATATTTTATTTTATGAATTTTTAATATCTTACAAATATAAATAATATACGTATAATTACTAAAAATTTAACTGAAAAATTATTTTCTATGAAAACTAAATATAATTCGAAATCAATTTAAAACAGTGATAGGCGATCATATGATATAAATGCTGGTAGAAAGTTATGTGAGAAGGATAAGTGCAATGTGAGTATAAAACCACCCGCCAAAACTAACCGAACACTACATATACGAGTTAGATTTCACTATAGCTTAGCTGAATTGAACCATAGGTTTGTTTGGTTAATTAGGGTTAAAGTTTCACTCGGGTTAAGGCTTCCATTGGGTTAAGACTCCTCACACTTAGGGTTTAGTTCTTTTTAATTTGCAAAAAAAAAATGATCTCATGATATATTTTTGAGTATAGTTTTAATTGTTTAGTCTCATATATTTATTTGATGAATTTTTAATTTCCTACAAATATAAATGGTATATGTATAAATTATTAAAAATTTGACTGAAAAATTATTTACTATGAAAACTAAATATTATTCGAAATCAATTTAAAATAGTGATAGGCGATCATATAATATAAATGCTAGTTGAAACTTATATGAGAAGGATAAGTACGACGTGAGTATTAAACCACCCGCCAAAACTAACCAAACACTACATATACGAGCTAGACTTCACTATAACTTAGCTGGATCGAACCATAGGTTTGTTTTGTTTGTTACGGTTAAGGCTTCCCACACTTAGGGTTTAGTTCCTTTTATTTTGCAAAAAAAAAATTCTGGATATATTTTTGAGTATATTTTTAATCGTTTAGTCTCATATATTTCTTTGATCAATTTTTAGTTTCTTACAAATATAAGTGGTATATGTATAAATTATTAAAAATTTGACTGAAAACTTTTTTTCTATGAAATGCTCTTATGGGTAAGGGCTGGGATGGGTAAGGACTGGGACGAGACGTGGGTAACGGCTGGAGCTGGACGGATAAGATTTGGGACAGGATGCAGGTAAGATCTAGGAAGGGAATGTTAAGGATTGAGACGGTATGCGGGTAATAGGCGAGGCACATGGGCTGGGGTACCTACCGTG